TCCTCACTGAGAAGGGGACACCCAAGCGAGGACATGAAGAGCTGGTAGAGCAGGATGTGCCTGGACAAGGGCCTGCGTGGCCAGAGCACAGGAAACAAGGGGGAGAGCGGTGTTGGATGAGGTCAGGGGGTGGGAGAGGGCTGAGTAGGGAGTGCCCTGTGGACACAGCTATGGGGGAGAGTTTGCAGCAGAAGACATGATCTGATTTACCCCTCATGGGGTCCTTTTGGCTGCTGCGTTGAGAAGAGATGGGATGGGGATCAAGGGCAGAATCCCAGAGACCCACTAGGCTGTTCCCGGGATCCAGAGGAGGGACTGGGTGACAGCCAGAAACGCTGGGAGAAGTGGTCAAGATAATCTGAAGGTCAGGCCAACAGCATTTGCTGATGGATGGGATAGGATTTGAGAGACAGAGCTTTGGAAGGTGACCCTAAGGTTTTGGGCCTGAGCAACTGGAAGGATTGGCTAAATAAAGTGCAGCCTTACAATGGAATATGACGCAGCTGAAACAACTTCAATGGGAGCGAGAAGTTGGGCATGAGATATTGCAAGTTTAGGAATTGAAGAGCCAGGGTATTGGAAAGATGATCTCCGTGTATTTTGAAATCTCTAAGAATTATGGCAAGTGTGGTATCGAGAATAGTAGGAACCAGGGTCAAGAGTCTTCAAGGAATGATGGGCAGTTCTAGGTCATTGTAACCCAGAGGGGCAGGGTGGAGGATGTCTGAAGACATGAGGGTCAAGTCTGGTGTTTAAGGAGGAAGGAGGGAGAATGAGCTAGAAATATCAAGAGGATGTCCACCCCGTCATTGCAGGCCAGTGCAAGAAGGCTGTGGGGATCCACCACCACCGAGGCAGCCGCTGGTGAGGCCATACCCTGCGGAGGGGAGGCTGGTTTCCATTAGGTGCAGGCGAGATGTTGGAGTAGATCTTGAGGTTATGAGGATTTGGGTTGCCGACTGAGGCTGCGTTCCATAGGGTGCAGTGGGAGGATTTCAGGATCGGGAAGGTTGGGAGGTGGGACGTGAAGGGGGACATGCAGAGCCCTATAAGGAGTGGGGCAGGAGGATGAGGGTGACTGGGAGCCTGGGGGTTCCTGTGGGGCTGTCATGAGCACATGGCAGTGTTCTTGTTCAGAAGGGGGAAGATCTGATTGAAGGGCAAATTCAGACTAGAGGGTACTCCCTGGAGAGGGCAAAGGAAATGTGAAGGATTGTCCTCGTTTACTCCTCAGCCGGTTCGGTGTTTCTGAGTGGGGTTCTAGACCATTTCATGAGAATCACTCAGAGGGGTGCTGGATCGGCTCCTGTGGCTGCAGAACAGAGTGCCACAAACCAGCTGGTTTAAACTGGGTGGGAGAAACGTATTCTCTCCCAGTTCTGAGGCCAGAAGTCTGAAATCAAGGTGTGGGCAGGGTCGGTCCCCTCGGGAGGCCATGAGGGAGAAACCATCCCAGGCCTCCTTCTGGCTTCTGGTGGCTGCTGGCAATCCTGGGCATGCCGTGACTGGTGACAGCATCACTCCAAACTCTCTGCCCTGTCTTCACATCGCCTTCTCCGTGTGTGTGTGTGTGTGTGTGTGTGTGTGTGTGTCTTTGTCTCTTCTCTCATTAGGGCCCACCCTAACCCAGTATGGATTACTGGAGTACATCTGTAAAGACTATTTCCAAATAAGATCCCATTCCCAGGTATGGGGCGTTAGGGCTTGAACATATCTTTTTGGAGGACACAATTCAACCCTCATAAGTTGGGCTGCTTATTCAAAATCAGATCCCCAGGCCTACCTTAGGTCTAATGAATTGGATCTCTAGGCTTGGGACTCAGATCTCCAAGGTTCTGGTTATCACAGAGACAAGTCTGGAGAGAGGAGAGACGAGCTCAAAGGGCCTCCGAGCCCAGCTGGGCAGCAGCTCCACTGTCTGGCCCGGGCCTGAGCCCTCAGTAGCTCCTTCTCTCGTTAGCAGCAGGAGGCTCTGCCCAGCCACCCGCTCAGCCCGGCCTCGGCTTGGCTCAGCTTCTGGTCCTAAGGGTGGCCTTGTCATCACTTCATCAAATTCTAAGTGTGCCATCCCATCCATCTAATGTTCTGACACAGTTGATGAATTTTAAATTAAATGATAGACCACTAGTTACTGGTGGGCAAGACTCATAAACTAAATGATCAAAAGAAAAAACCCACAGGAGTCTTGTTAGAATAAAAAGTGACTGTCCCACTGCCCTGGGACTGAAAAAGAACTGCTCAGTCTGTGAACTTATGTAAATCAAGCTTCTATTCACGGCCCTCGAAATGGAAATGAAGGCGGGCCAGCTTTTTCTTTCCACTTTTATAAGTCAAGGTCATTTCCCTCTGAGAAAAGAGCAAAAAGAAAAGTATCATGACACTTCAGCCCTGGGCTCACTCTTCCCCCTGTGGAGACAGATTCTGGCCCCAGGAGCGACTTCCGGCCATGAGGAGTTGGCCCTTTGGCCCCAGGGTGGCATTGACAAAATTATTGGTAGCAGTTTGCAAAATGGTGCCCCAGAGAGTAGACTGAACTCTCAATATAGCTTTACTTACCTGAAATCAAAGATTTTGCATGAAAGCCTGTTGGAAAAAAGTATTTTAAAAAATGGGGATTCTCATGAAGTTTAGCAAGAGGCAGAGACGAGAAAATGTTTGTTGGTGCCCGTGCAGCCCTGGGCAGGGGAAGAAATCCTGATTCTACAAGCTGCTGCGCTGGCTGTCTAGACCACAGTTTTTCAACCTCCACACTCCTGGCGCTGGGGTGGCTCATTCCCTGTTACGGGGCTGTCCTGTGCGTTGCAGGATGTTGAGCGACATCCCTGGCCTCTTGCCCCCTAGATGCCAGGAGCACCCCCCATTCAGGACAACCAGAAATGTCTCCAGACATAAAGGTCCCCCTGGAGGCAAAATCGCCCCTGGTCGAGAACCACTGGTCTAGAAAGAAAGACGCTTTCTGGTCAGAAACTTTAGGATTCCTAGACAATGTCTCCAAAGAACATCACATTCTAGTTTGTTCCAATTCTCTGCTCAGTGAGCAGTTTTCTGATCACAGTGTGGTTTCCAGAGTCAACGTGACAGCAGGGCCATGTCTGAGGGATGTGATACTTAGGTTTAGATATTTAGACCATGATCTCCACTCGCCCCGCCACAAGTACCGCCCCTACACACTAGTCTTGACAATGCAGGTAGGTCCCCAGCATTAATAAACCCTCTCTCCCCAGCCCCACTCAGAAGGCAGCTCTGTTTAATCCCAATCGCTGTCTTGGAGGATTCAGTATGGGCAGCACAAGGCCCCATAGGAAGATCTTAGAGATGTTTTCTGCATCAAAATCGACTCCAGGATCCGCCTACAAAACAGAAAAGTTACTTCCGAGCAGAGAGCTGGTCTAGATGGATGAATGCCTCTGGAGTGGCTGGAGAGTGGGTTTTGATGCTGGGTCTGGGGAGGAGAGTCCTCTGGGTGCGGTGAGCATCCCAACTCCCTCAAGAGTCTCCCCGTTCTTCTGAAGCCCTGCTTTCCCCAAGTGGCTTCTTTCTCTCGGGTTCAGCCCGTCTCCTCCAGCCTGGGGTCCCTCCACTATAATGCCTCTGGTGGATCGGGGGTCATACCCTCTGCCCCCTGCCTTCTGACTGCCCCTTTAAACCAGGTGTTGACCTCTCTGGGTGCAGGGGCCCAGCCACCACCCCTCCATCGCAGGTCCCATGGCTGGTCTGGCATGAGGAGGCCCCTGAGACCTGAGGAGGGGCAGGCATCTGAGTTCCTCCAGGCCACTGCCCAGTATCAGGCCTGAACTCAGGCCAGCTCCTCGCTTTGTACCCTACTTGTCCTCACCCCCGTGGGGAAATCCCAGCTCTGGTGAGCCCTCAGGGAGCGCCGGGACCGCGCAAGTCCAGGTGCCTCCCTCAGGTGACGAGACCCCTGGGAGGAAAGCGAGAACTGGAGAGTAAATGCCTTTTCATTGAAGTGAGTCATTCAGCCCACAAACAGTAAATAGGAATCGACTATGAACAAACAGGAAATTGCAAGAATGACACAGCGCCTGTCCCCTGGCAGCTTACAGTCCACAAAACTGTTGAATCTAGAAGCTGACTCCAGTGCCAGCCCTCCTAACCCATGTTCCAAACTTCTCCATGCTTCCTACTCGCGTCCTAATTTCATTTTCTTTTTGTTGTAAAATATTCTGGGCAGAAAGAGCCTAAACCAGGCGGTAGACCTTTTTCTAGCAGCTTCCGTTTTTTTTATTTTTATTTTTATTTTATTTATTTATTTATTTATTTATTTATTTATTTATTTATTTTTCCCCCAAAGCCCCAGTAGATAGTTGTATGTCATAGCAGCACGTCCTTCTAGTTGCTGTATGTGGGACGCGGCCTCAGCATGGCTGGAGAAGCGGTGTGTCAGTGCACGCCCGGGATCCGAACCCGGGCCGCCAGCAGTGGATCTCGAGCACTTAACCGCTAAGCCATGGGGCCAGCCCTTCCGTTTTTTTTAAATTCAGGTAAAATCACGTAGCACAAAATTAACCCTTTTAAAGTGAGAATTTGGTAGCATTTGGTAAATTTACAATGTTGTGCAACCAGCACCTCTATATCCTTCCACATTTTTATCACCCCAAAAGGAAACCCCATCCCCATTAAGCAGTCACTCCCCAATCCCCCTCCCCCTATCCCCTCCTAACCACCAGTCTGCTTCCCGTGTCTGGCGATTTTCCTATTCTGCATATTTCACCAGAATGGAATCATACAATATGTTGCCTTTTGTGTCTTTCACTTAGCATATTGTTTCAAGGTTCATCCACCTTGTAGCATGTATCAGCACTTCATTACTTTTTATGGCTGTGTAGTATTCTGTTGTATGGATAGACCACATTTTCTTTATCCATTCATCTATTGATGGACATGGGGACTGTTTCCACCTTTTGGCGATGGTGAATGGTGCTGCTGTGAACACACGTGCATGTGTATCAGTTAGTCCCAGTCTTCACTTCCTGTGGTATATATCCAGGGGTGGAATTGCAGGGTCATATGGTAATTCTTTAACTTTTTGAGGACCTGCCAAACCAGCATTTTCTTAAGATGCTTGATAAATGACAGTTTCCTTCTTCCTCCTTGGACTGTCTCACCTCCCAGAAATCCCCCCTAAGGTTTTCATTGACTACGAAGTCCTGGAGGTTTTCCCCAGAGGCCGCACAGTTGTCATAAAGTGCTACTCATCCCAGATGCCTCCACCTATCACCTACACCCTCTTGAGGAGCCCGGACATTGAGGTTGACAAGCAAAACGTGTCCACCCGCGACAAGGCCTCCTTCAGACGCAACATCACGCTCGAGTCCAGGCCAGACCTGCTCACCTACTCCTGCCGGGCGAGCTCCACCTTGGGCATGAACTCGAACAGCAAGAACCTACAGATGTACCAGGAGCTGTGGGGTAGTGAGTGCTCAGGGTGCGGGGGTGGGGGGCCTGTGGGGTGCAGGGTCTGGAAGAAAAACAGAAGCTCCTGGGGGTGGGTATCATGGGGACTGGGGCTAGAGGGGGTGAAGGCAGGAGGGTGGGGACAGAACAGGCTGCCCACCTCCAAGGGCCACCCTCAGTCCCTTAGGGCCTGCTCACAGGCCACATGGAGTTCCTGGCTGGGCCCCCAGGACACAGTCTCCTGGCAGGTGCCTGAAGGGCCTGAAGAGAGCGCAAAAGAGCCCCAGGGCGGAAGTGACAGTGGCCTGGGCCTCCTTTGTAGAGCTTTGACCTCCAGCTGATAAAGTAGGCACTTTTGGGCTTTATCTTGTTTAATCTTCACAGCAGCTCTGAGGGCTGGGGGTTCGTGATCCTCGGCCTATAGAGGTGGAGGCTAAAGCTCTTGGAGATTAAGACTGTTGTTCCAGGGCACCCAGCTTGCAAGTGGCAAAGACTGGTTTCAAACCCCACTCCATCCAGCTCCAAAGCCTGCGTTCTTCCCATTTCTATCCTGCTCTTTACTCAGGCGTCCTTCCTGGTGGAAGGCGTGGGGTTGGGGGGACCAGGGAGTGTTGCCTGACCACTGGCAGGACTGTGACCCCCTGGACTTGGACCCAAAGAAGGCAGCCTAGGGGAGGAGAGCGCTGGGTCCACTGGAGCACTCCGGGTCATGGGTTCAAATCTCCACACTTACAGGCCGTGGGGTCTTGGGCACCCCAAGGTCACTCAACCTCTCTGGGCCTCCACTGCTTCATCTGCAAAACAAAGATAATAATAGTACCTCCCCCACCAGGGGAGAAAGGGCCAATGGGAGCTTTTTGTAGGCGGTAGGTACAAGCGTGGTGGGTGTCCCTCATCAGTAAGGCTCTTTGGAGCATTAGCTTGAAGGCCCTGGGGGATTCTAGAATCTAGAATCTTCTCAGTGACAGTTCTTGTCCAGAAGGTGCATGTATTCCAGTAAAAGAACCAAGACTGAAAGAACATAAATAGGGTTGCCAGATAAATTTCGCATAGGACATTCTCATACTAAAAGAGTATTCATTGGGCTGGCCCCGTGGCTTAGCGGTCGGGTGCGCGTGCTCTGTTGCTGGCGGCCCGGGTTCGGATCCCGGCCATGGTGAGGCCGCGTCCCACATACAGCAACTAGAAGGATGTGCAGCTATGACATACAACTATCTACTGGGGCTCTGGGGGAAAAAATTAAAAAAAAAAAAAAAAAAGAGTATTCATTGTTTATCTGAAATTTATATTTAACTAGGTATCCTGTATTTTTATTTGCTAAGTCTGGCAACCCAGAATATGCCACAAGAGAATAAAACCAAATGTGAAATTGACTGGTACACACTGTAAGGAGGATAGAAGCCCAGACACAAGGCAGAAGCAGTAATCCAGAAGGCTGTGTGGAGGAGGTAGCAATGACAGTTAGGCCCCCAGGCTCATTAGGCATTTTGTAACAAGGGAACTTGCTGGGGAGAGGGTGTTAAAGTCTCCCAGCATGCCTGTGCTACCCTCTCCCACCCTGCCAGATCCCGTGTCCCAGCTGCAGGCTAATTTCACTCTGCTGGACAGAGGATCAGACCCCAGGATAGAGATTTCCTGCCAGGCCTCGGGCAGCCCACCCATCACCTACAGCCTGCTCAGGAAGGACCAGCTCATCTACATGAAGCAGAGACCGAACTACGGGCAGCCTGCCAACTTCTCCTTCCCACTGAACCAGACGTCGAACTGGCTCCAGTGCCAGGCTGAAAATGACATCAATGTCCAGAGCAGCCCCCTCAGGCTGGTGCCTCCAGGTGAGAGTGGCCCTTGGTATCCAGAAAGCAGCTGGCCATTCTGGGTAGCACAGTGGGCAGTGGAAGAGCTCCACCGGGCCGAGAGCAGGGAAGGGCGTTGTGCAGCAGGCAGGCCTCTCCTGGCCCTAAAGGAAGCCAGCCCAGCAGCCCCTGCCTCCCTCACAGGACAGCTACCCCAGGAACCCGCCTTGGTGCTGACTGGCAGCCTCGCTATCACTGCAGCTATCAGCTCCTGGATGCTAGTCCGGACCCAGCTGTCCAGGTAGGAAATGGGTGCTGGATGTGGGGGAGGAGTGGGAACTGCTGACGGCCTGTGTGGACCACAGGGGCCCTGGCTGGAGAGGAGCGGGCATTGGGTTTCTAGGGCAGGGCTGCCGTCAAGGCAAAGAAAGGGCCAGATGGCTTGTGCATGACTTGCAAAAGCTTATTAAGTGCCTACTGTGTGCCAGGTGCCTGCTGAGGGCTTGCCCATTCCTGGCTTCATCTGACCCTGACCAATGATCCCAGCGCCCAGCGATGGAGTTCGCTGGCCTCTGGGTGGGGCACTCTCCTATGTTCCTTGTGGGTCTGAGGAGGGATGCCAGGATGGCAGATGATGCCTCCTGGGGACCAGGGGGGATCAGGGGCTTCTGCCCTCCATGGGAACCACACAGGGCAGTGCTTCCCAGCTGGTGACAAGAGGCAGGGGCCAGACCTCCCCAGGGCCATCACTTCACTGACTTGTAGTGACCAGGGCCTTTGTGCTGTCTGACCCCAGGCACCACAGGCCTCTGTGTGCTCTACCTGTCTGGCCTTTGGCGGCGGTCACCTCTGCCCCGTGAACTTCTCACTCCCTTAGTTCCTAAGGCACTGCTGCCTCCTGGTTCTCTTCCTCCCCGCGGCCAGCCTCTTCCACGGGCGTTGTCCAGGAGTCTATCCTTGGCACTCTCCTTGTCTCACCTCAGGGTCTCTTTCTCCCAACTCTCTGCCCTTTCCAGAGACCAGATTGCTGGGCGAGCCATGTCACCTCTCTGAGCCTCAGTTTTCCCTTCTATGAAATGGGATATAGAGACCTGGCTCCACTCGCCATGTGACCAGGGGCCAGCACTTGCCCTCTCGATGATTCAGGGCCCTCCCTTAATTTAGTGGGGTGACTCAGCCTCACGCCCCTCCTCCTGCCCAGGCCACTGATACACTTGGCACCATAAAATTCCTGGAGGCCTTGGGAGGGGGTGGCTGAGAAGTATGCTCACCTAACCTGGAGTCTCAACTCCTTTGTCATCAAGGCGTGACTAGAAGATGCAGGCTCTGTGGAGTCCCCCCCGGAAAGCCGTGGTCCTTGCTCCCTACAGAAGGACTCACCACTGGAATGAAGAAAAAGCCAGCCCGCCCAGATTCTTGGAGCCCTGGTGTTCTTCAGTGAACATACATGGTGTTAGTTTCAGGATTTTAGGATGGGGTGAGGGCTGGAGAGGGAAGGGGAGGTCAAAGGAAGAAGGGGGCTCTGTGTGGGCCCCTGTCCTCGCCCCTCAGCTGCTTGTTACTGTCCATGAAGGTCTGGGGAGAGGGTCGTGGTACACTGAAAAGGACCAACTGCACCAACCCATAGAGGGCCACCTCCTCCTCCCCCACACCTGCTCCCCTCTTCCCTGGAGTGGCACCCCATCTCCTGGTGGCCCAGACCTCTGGGCCCACCCACTCACCCCTCACTGTCCAGCTCACCTGGGAGGACCCTGGGCCCCACTTGGCCAGCACTGCCTCATTAATCCTTACCTGCCACTAGTGAAGGGTGTCTGGAATTCCTCCGTGCCCAGTCAGCCTGCGGCTCCAGGAGAACGCAAGAGCCACCCGCCTCCCCCACCCACCACGCCGCCCCACACACAGAGCCTTCCCTGTTCAGGGGCTCTGAACCGTTTCGGGAAAGAACTGGATTAAACTCTGCCCCCTGCCTTTCACCCTGGGAACGTCGTTTCTCTCTGTATACCGTCTTGGAGCCCGAAAATCAGAAGTCACACAGCCTTGGGGCCTGGCCCAGCCGTGGAAGAATTGGTGGTGGTAGTGAAGGGTGTCTCGACCCCACCCCAGGCGTAGCTCCAGAGAGGAGGAAAGAGTTACAGGCCAAGCAGGGAGAGGATTTAGCTGTGGCCTGGGGTTTTGAGGGCAATGGAGAGGAGAGGAGAGGGGGTTCTTATAAGCCTGGGTCCTGGGCAGTGAGGACCAGACGGGCGTCTGGCGGGGCTTCCTGGAGGGAGGGCTGGGGCAAAGGATGGGTGGGGCAAAGGAGAGAGAACCCCCTGCGTCCCTCTCTTCCTGGGGCTCTCTGGCCCCTTTCTGTTCGCACAGCGAGCAAAAGTGGAGGAGGACGAGAAGGGGGCTAGACAATGAGCACTCGGCGGCTAGACGGGTGTCCGCCGCTGGAAACGCAGGCCCTGTCGTCGGGGCGCCCGGGCTGCCCCCTCCGCCGCCGCTCGCCGCGAGAGGCACTTTGCCCCCGGTCCCTGGG